TATCTTTGTACTCTACCCCAAGCAGTGGACATCTACTACATCCTGACAAAATATCACCCATCTTCCTGTGTACAGGGGGCCCCTGATGTATGAAGTGTGTAGTTCACAGCCCACCCAATAACAGAAGGAGCCTGAGTGTGTCTGAGCTATGTTTTCCTCATGAGCAATATAAAGACATGTAGTCTTTATTAAAGTCACAAAGGGCCTCCCAGCAAGATGAGGGTCTCTCTCCCTATGAAATAACACAGAACAGATGTCTGAAAGCAAGACAGCGAAGGACTATGGTCTCTGAAAGATGAACGCCCAGTTTTAATAGCTTCCCAAATGTGGAGTAGAGTGGAGAACCCTGGGCATTGATCTCCAAGTTGGGAAAGCCATGAGACCTGGGAGAGGGAATGTATTCAGTCGAGCACAGATCACTCAAAGGGAAAAGCATCTAATCCTGAAGGAGAGAGCATGTCAGAGAGAGCAGGGCTGGGACAGACCCCTACCTGACAAGTCAGGGGGCTCAATACTCATGGCCACTAAAACTGAACTTCACAAGTGTGTGATTTCACAGAGGGGCAGTCACCCCTGAATGAGCTCCACTCTGGTCTTATCCAAAACTTAATAGCAAGGCACAAAAACACTGAACTTTTTAAACAATTATATCACAGAATAATAATACAAAATATAGAAATAATTAACTCCAAGAAAAGGTAAGCTTCACATATTCTGGCATCTAACCAGAAATATTAGGCAAAACAGAAAGAAAATTTGACCCATAATTAAGATACAAAGCCAATTTGTCAGTCCTAGACAAGCATAAGAGCATTTTAAAAGTATCTTAACTATTTCCTCCTGTTTGGGAAATACAGCAATCCAATCAAATTTCTAGAGGTGAAACTGTGTACAAGTGATGAATACACTGGATGGGATGAGCAATAAAATAGATTTTCAGGAAGGAAAGACCATTCATGTGAGGCCAGAGTTATATCAGCTTTTCACAAGGAAAAGAGGAGACCTGGGCGATCACATGGGAGATACAGGGTTTCAGAAGAAAAGCAAGGTGGACTGTTCTGAAGTTGCCCTCTGGCCTAAATACACACACACACACACACACACACACACACACACACACACACACACACACACCCAGAGACAAAGACACATCGAGCGAATATGAAAGAGAATGAATATAAATGCATTATGGTAGGAAGTAAAGCCCTGACCTGGACCCAGACACCAGGTAAGAAAGGAAGTCTGTACTATGACAGCTACTAGAGACCAGCTCATAGTGTGGATCCTGCCCACACGCCTGTGCTCAGATGCCCAAAGTTGCCTACACATGCTGTTTCATCTGCATGTTACATGACATCTACATGCTCATAAAAATTATGTCTCTAGTGCATGCTCATGAATAAATTCCAACACTGTAGCAGCAGTCAGCTACAAATATCCTCTATCTCCCTTCTCAAATAGCACTGCAGAACCATCTGAACAGCTGAGGCTGGATACAGTCCATGACACAGTTTTTTCCTCTGTACATTCCCACTACAATACAAACTGAAGACAGTGCTCGCTTCAGCAGCACATACACAAACTGAAGACAGATTAAAAAATATCATTATCCTTTATCCCAGTCAACATGATCCAAAATGTATAAAAGCATTATAAAAATAATAAACCAAGGTTATAGATGAAATAGTATACAGAACTCAATTTATATTTGCATATGTTAAGTAAAAAAACAATATATTATTACAAAATTATTCAGCTCATCATACCATTGAAAACAATGAATTTAGCCAGGCAGTAGTACATGCCTTTAATCCCAGCACTTGGCAGACAGAGGCAGGCAGATCTCTGTGAGTTCGAGACCAGCCTTGTTAGTTCCAGGACAGGCTCCAGAGAAACCCTGTCTCAAAAAACAAAACAAACAAACAAAAATAGAACAAAAGTAAACAATGAATTTAACAAAACTGGCATAAAATTTGTATATAATTTAAAAAATAATTGCTCAGAGAAATGAGACATCTATTTACGGTTCATGGGTTAGAACACAAAATATTGTTAAAATTGTAGATCTCCCACAATCGCAATTGAATTCTCTTTAGGCTTTTAAAGGTGAACCTGAGAGGTTGATCCTAAATTGCATATGGGAATTTATAGTGGCCAAAATGATTCTGAGTGCAAGTCAAGGACACAAGAATTCCAATTGCCACTAATATTTGATATTTTTCTGGTTTTTATATTTTTTTAAATATGTAATCACCCTGGGTGCGAGATGGTATCTTGTTATAATTTTAAAATAGCTTTTCTTGATCTTGTTCTGTGTCAGGGTCGTACGTGTAATTCTGACTATCATAACTCCCCCCTTTGTAGTCACCCTTTTTCTCTAGAGAAAGCCCAAGCTGATCTTGAAAACAATAATCCCCATGCCTCATAATTGGTTTTTTAGTATCTTAAGACAATTCTATATTTCTGGAATAAACCTTAATCAGTTGTGGAATATCATACTATATTTACGGTACCAGACTCAAGATACTCCTATTTTGTTCATTTTTTCAACAGCGCTAGTACTTCTATTCATTGGAAATAGCACTGATGCTTCCATTTATGGAAAACACAAATGGTTAAAGATGGAAAGCTAAGTTCCTTCTGTCTTAAGTCACAGTGACCTTCCTCTATCAATGACTCCTGGGCCATCCTGAGCCATCTGAACTTTCCTCCCACTGGATATGAGAAACAGGGGGGCTGAGGTGAATGGATGTTTGTGGAGGGTGGCCTGGAAGTGATGGTGACATTGTGTCTACAACACCCTGACAAAGCTTGGGTAAGTGATATTGACCACAATATAGGGTGGCTGAGGAGTGCAAGGAAAGGAGTGCAGTATGAAATACATAACCCTCTCCACTCACAACACTGCCCATAATGTTCACTCAGGTGAGAGCCTCCATGCCCATCACACATGCACAGGGTCTCCTTTGTGTGGATTCAGTAAAACTTGCAGGGGTGACTTTTGGAGAAAGGTTTTCCACATTCTCAGGAATTTGTCTTTATAGCATTCACTGAAGCCGGTTTTCATTAAAAATATTGACTTAGGTTACTTTTTGTTTTGCTTTTTCATTTTTTTAAATTTATTTTAAATATCAACCACAGCTTCTCCTTCCGCTATCTCCCCCCATTTCTCCCCACCACTCACTCCTCCTCCGTCTCCAGTCAGATGGGGTAAGGACTCCCATGGGAATCAACAAAACATGGCACTATAATCCTGATAAATTATCTGAAAGAAACTCCCATTGTGGTGATGAGACCTACCTGCTTGGAGAAAGACCCAAGAACTCATAGTTTTCACTCCACCTGATGTGTGGGACAAATTTTCCTCTGCTTTAAAACATGAGTGTCCAGTGCCTGGCAGCAACATGCTGAGATGGGCACAGTGATGTTAATGGATCCAGCCCCATAAATCTTTATCTACTTCTAAATTTTTCCAAGTTAACTGTATGCTTTCTAACTCGGTCAATGAACACAAATTATTATTGCGGGTCCAATAAGACACAGAAAATTTCATTGTCTATAATAGGAAACCAAATTGCTGATTTGAATTTTTCACCCAATGAAAATTCTGGCTTAATGGTTTGTGAATTAAACAAAAACAAAATTTTAAGTAATATACTTTATGCAACCTCTTTCAGGAAGTGGAAAAGGAAGAAAAATACACCAACTCGTTCTGTTTCCATCTGATACAAAGTCTCTGTGATGTGGTCATTAAAAGTGCCCTAATGACAAAACCAGATTCAAACAATACCTATCCATAAATTCAGCACTACAGAAAGTACTAGAAGGAAAATTCCAACCCAGGGAACTCAGTTATATCCACACAAACACAGCCAAAAGATAACCTCACAACAGCAAAACCTGAAGAAGGCAAACACACACATACTACCATCACCACAACCAAAACCAAAAAATAACAGGAATTAACAATCGCTGGTAGACACACACAGCACATATATCACACAGCAGACATCACTTATCAAACTCCGGACACACCACACAGACTCACAACTCTCCACACACTATGCAGATACAGTGACACTATAGGTACCACACACCACACATCACACAAAATAACCGCACATACATTACACACCATATACCACATTGTACACAACATAACACAAATGACACATGAACTCTTGCCATATTTATTTATACCAAGTCATATCTCAACATTTTATTGTGAAAATTTTCAAACATCTAGAAAATTTGAAAGTGAAAATTCATATGTACTTAACACCTAGATTCTATTATTGCTAACATTCTTCTAAATAGATGATTCTTGAATGGCAATGGGGTTTGCATTCTGAGGAACTCATCATAAACTGAAGATATCTTAAGTCCAAAATATACATAATACACATGCTCTACTGAAGATCACAGCTCAGCAACATCGTGTACCACAGGGGACAGGCGTCTCCTCATTATCTTGGGCTGATGGCTTGAGGCTGCCATCCTGAGAGAGGCTCATACTTGTCACTAGCCCAGGAAAAAAATCAAAATTCCAAATTAGAAGCATGGTTTGTAATATTAATGTTGTACATATCAAAACCAAAAACTTCTAAGTTGTACCATCACATCAGGGAACATTGTTGGCCACTGAACCATCTGTCTTCACCACTTAACTGTAAATCTTATTTCTAGGTGTATGTTACAATTGTAGCCTCCAGTATGTCTCACTAACATGTACAAATGTTGCTTTAGTTTTAGTAGTTTTTTTTTTTTTACTTCATTTCTACCCCTACTTCCTCTTGTCCTCCAGACACCTTATGGTTGAGAACTTCTGTCCCTACATTTTCCTTCTGTTTCTTACTTTTGTTCCTACCCGAGTTCCATTCCACAGCTGTAAAACTTGCAGGAGTTCAATGCATTGCTCTCTTCGGGTTGGGGGGAGCTGTGGACCTACAGGTGATGTAGGCCTGTGTCCTGGAGGCCCAGTCAGCACTCTATACTCACCTTTACTGTGGAGTAATCTTTGGAGCTGGAGCTATGAAACACACATCTGATTGCTGCGAAAGAGAAGACAGCAGGAATTTCTGGGGCTCCACTCTGAGGAGGAAAGACAAACACATCATCTTGGGGGAGACCCCATAATTGAGGCTGAAGAATCTCATACCAGCTTCTTGGGGCCATAGCCATGTGTACTACACAATGGGAAACCAGGATTGGATTCTAGTGTGATGAACCCTCACTTCTAGCCAGTGGTATACGCAGAAAGGTGCATCCTTATACTGCTTGGGCCCTGTGTTAGACCTCTATTTCATCAGTCTTGGAAAATTGGTAAAAGGTCACACCATGTACCCCCAGCATCTCCGACTCATGGGAGTTTCTTGTAGCAGACCCAGCAAGCTAATGTAGGAGGCTGATCTGGAGTTTCCAGGGAGCATAGGAAGGCAGAAGAATGCAAAGACTCCACATATGAGAATGACAGTGCTAGCATGCTGCCAGCAGTGTTGAGGGTGAAAGTAGGAATCTCAGGAAAAGTAAATTCCAGAAGCTTCCTGACTGTACTTAGCCAGGCTCTTCCCTCAACCCCTCTGGGTCATTCTGACCAATAAGAGGCAATGCTGCCTGCGAGACACTGGAAAGCCCAGCTCTGTGTGGAGACAATGAGTGTGTGCTAATGTCTTCTGCAGCACGAGAAAACCAATTCATACCACATGGAAGGCGGCAGCTGACCGGAACTCCCTCAAAGTCAAACAAGAACATTCTTCCTATGTGAAATCTCAGTCTTGGTTCCTGTTTGCTTTCCAACTCTATCCATCTATTTCATGGAATATTTCATAACAGATACAGATGCCAGAGGAGATATTCCCAGTACATGAATGGCCTCCTGACCATTAGAAAAAGTTCTCTGTGAAGTTGGGGCCAGAATACTCCACTAACCAGTAGCTATAATTGATTCCTATATCTCATGGGCACTTATACTTGTGCTTGTGACTGGTGCAGTGCCATGAAGGACTATGACAATAACCATGCTCTCTGGAACTTGGGCTGTGATATGCCAAAGCATACCAGTGTCTGTTTATTATCAACATCCACACTGTTAGGTTGTCATAGAAACAGTTTCTGTATCTGAAAGTATAGAGACTCAAGAAAGCCATGGATGTGTCAAGTCCTGGGTGAATGTGTGTGTTGACACAAGCCAATCATATCAAGAACCCCAGAACCTCAGACCAATGGAGGAGCGGCAAAGCCTCCTCCCTGGGGTGAAGGTCAGAGGCATGTCAAAGTGTTCCTGTGGAGACTGAGTGCAAATGTTGACAGTGTGTGCAGAATATGTCTACTATAGCTTTCTCCCTCCCAGATGTTTATGGCCTGAACACTGTCCCTTGAAGAGGCTGTGCCTACTGAGATTAGCTAAACCTGTCCCCTTGATCCAACTGTGTATCATAAACTCTGATTCCTTTATTATCTGCATATAATAACCCTCTCTCCCTAACTAGCTGTATGCAATAACTCCACCTTTTTGTTCAACTCTATGAAATAAACATGCTGAGCTTCTGGGGTGCTGTGGTTTCTCCAGGAGAGCCCAGACCACCTGATGCTGACTTTCTGTCTGTGTACCTGCCTGTTTTTGTATTTTCTTCATTACTTCATCATCCTAGTCAGGTCCAAGTCCCCAAGCTGTGCTGGATGTGGCACTAAAGGGCGGGTAATATTATATTGACCATTACATTTTGAGAGTTGTGACTCTGCCCTGTGTTCTGTCACATGTACACACACTGATCTTTCTAGTACAAGACTAATTCATCATCATGCTGGAAAAGAATACTATAAAGTAAAAATAATATCTGAGGCATGTACTCACCCCAAAGATGAAGATATTTATATCCACAAAAAAAACCATGGATCTTCTTCTTTTCACAATGTTGAAAATATGTGGAGTTTAAAAAGTAGGCCCCAAGAGTGAAAGGAATGATTACATTTTTATTTAATGGAGGATTGAATATCTGATGAAAAAGAACTCAAAAGGAAGACCTTTTTGTATCCCCTGGTGGGCAGGAGACTTGAGTGGGGGGACTAGTTTTACTTAGAAAAGTATGTAATTTCCAAAGTTTTCTATAATGTGTATCTACTTGGTAATCAGAAACAAAATAAAGTGCTTTTGGGTTTGGAGTGGAGTTATAGTCATGGCCACAGTTAGGTTTTGCCAGCCTTTCAGGAAGAGGAGGGGAACAGGATGGACAGAGACAGAGACAGACAGACAGACAGACAGACAGACAGACAGACAGACAGACAGACACAGAGAGAGAGATCTGGAAGTCTGCTTAAAAGTTAAGATTGGACAGCATTTCAAGTGTGAATGCCAACATTCACACTGATTTGGTTACACAATAGTATTGCCAATCAAGTTTCTAAGAAAGCCAATTTAGTCCAAATAGTTATTTAAAAGAAAATGATTTTTTCAGAATAAGTTGTCCTCACTGACCAAAAGATGGGGCAAAAAACTAAAGCAACTCTCAGTATTTTCATATATGAAGTGTAAATCTTCAGCTATGTTTTGAGACCTGAAGTACCTCTGACCCTGAGCTGCAGGGAGGAATAGGCTGACTAGTTTGTCCTCTCTGAACAAACACCAGCTTTTCCTCAAGAAAAGGGAGTATATATTTCTCAGAGGCTCATGAAGAATGAATCCTCTCTCCACCAGACATGAGTGGAGATTCTCTCTTCCATCTCCTATTTTATCCCTACTTCTGGCCTGCTACCTCTTGGTACCTTCCATGGAGAGGCCTGTGGCTTTTCCCTCAGAAAAATAGCTTCCTGTGCTCATGACAGAGTCCCCTGAGGCTTGGCCATCAGGGAAACAGCTAGAGAAGCAGATCTAAGGATGTCCTGGGCAGGACCCAGAGTAGCTGCTTCTAGCCTGCTCACCAGACATGGTCACCTGCAGCATTCTGGCTGGGGGACCATGACTGATGGCTGGGTAGGGGTATGCATATGTGTGTCTGTCTGAGGAGGCTCAAGTGAATGCCTAATTATTTTTGCTTTAATGTGTATTAATAGACCCTGGAGATGAGGTGAGAGAGTAAAAATGCAACATCCACAAACCTGAAAATACTTTGTATGGTAACTCCTCAAAATACACATGCATTTGTGCCTATAGTGTGATGAGGAAAGCACAACAGAAAACCAAGGTGGAACATTCAGTTAGTGTGCATAACCATGTCTCAATTACAGTTTTTCTTGGCTATACAAAAAGTTTTTTCATGAGGACACAGAACACTATAAAATGTGTGTCTCCTCTCTGTGTTAGGGTCAATTGGTTCTGGTGGCATGTGCCTTGCTCTCAGGCAGAGCTGTCACTAGGGAGCATTCTTACTCAACATCTCGTTGACTCAAGATTGAATTGAATGACAAGCTCTGACTCTCGGGATCTTATCATCTAAGCCAAACACTGTTGGGGACTGATAGGGACACATCTGCCTGCATGGCTATCCATGGATGTAGAAAATAAGCTGGGGAAACAGCTTAGTGGGTAAAGCTCTTGTCCTGCAAGCATGAGGGTATGAACTTCATCCCTAGCACCCAAGTGAAAGGCTGCTGTCATTGCAGCACTGGGGGAGCAGATCCTAGAGTTCATTGGCCTGCCAATCTAGCTAAGTCAGAGAGCACCTGGTGGTGTGGGCCTGGAGGAAATAGAGCGACAAATATGGAAACAGAGAAACTGGGTCTCAAAAAGTAAAACGGAAAGCAACCAAGGGAGACATCAATCTTTGGCCTCCATACATATGTGCACACACAGGCACACGCACTTGAGCTCTCATGCACCCAAAGAAGCAGCCTTGCTCATGCATTAGTACAGCTGTGAAGGAAATTTCCCAGTGTGTACAACAACATAAACCACTATCAATGTCAGTAAGCAACGTGAAACAACCATACTTTACATTATGCCATCCCTTCATTTAAAATATCACACCACAAATGAACTACTCTCTAAAGCCCTTTGGAGTGAAGACGCCATAGCCATTTTTCAGATAAGACACCACCAGGAAGCTACCACTCACCTCGGTGAGGTCTGAGACCAGCTCGAGTTGTTACTCTTTTCCTGTAGAGCAAATGAAAATGTACAAGTGAGACGAGAAGCTACTTATGACGGGCGTCCTGCCTGCTACTCATGAGAGTCTGTCTTCAGTTTTGACAGACAGCACCTGGGAAGGTCATCACGAGGACAGTTCCCTTCCTCAGGCAGCACACTTCCTCAGAACCATTTTTATGTGCACATGTTTTCCTTTCTCCATGGCTAGGCAGGCAAGGGACTGACAGCTAACCAGGTGGTAACATTTATGCAGCTTTCTGAGTGCCACTTACTGTTTTTACCACTGGTGAGTTTATATTCTTTCCCATTTCACCTCTGCTCCTTGGGATGAGCTTTCTGGTCCCTCCGCCCTGTCACTGACATCGGTACTGACAGATATTTTGGTGGGGGTTAGCCAGTGGGTATGTGGGTATCTTGGTCTTATTAAATGATGTCTACCATTTTCCATAGGCTTCCTCGCCATCTGTGCTCTCCTTAGCAAAGGATTTGGTCAAACCTAGGGCCATTTCATTAGAAAGATTTTAGCATTTTTAGTACAAGTGTGTGGTTTAGAAACGGCTTAGCAATGGCTTGCATTTTCTTTTCTTTTCTTTTTCTTTTTTAAAAAGATTTATTCATTTATTATGTATACAATGTTCTGCCTCCACGTGTGCCTGCACGCCAGAAGAGGGCACCAGATCTCATTACGGATGGTTGTGAGTCACCATGTGGTTGCTGGGAATTGAACTCAGGACCTCTGAAAGAGCAGTCAGTGCTCTTGACCTCTGAGCCATTTCTTCAGCTCCCCGAATTTTATTTTCTTAATGACAATTTTTGAAAAGAAAATTTTACATTTCATAAATTCTCATTGTGTCATTTATCTAGACATTGATTTCATTGTTGCATTGGTGGCGATTGCTGAGTTCAAGGTGACAGAGATTTGTTTTCTCTAGAAATGTCATAATTGCCTCTCAAACATAGACCTATAGTTGGCTTTGGATTTTCTGCAGGGATAAAGAAAAACTCAAAATGATTTTCAGTCTTGGTTGTTTTCGGTTCAGGGCCAGCACTTCTCCCCAGTTAGCCTTGTTATCTTTGTTCAACACAAGCTCGTCAGAAATGAAAGGTGCCATTTTGGGCCCTTACTGCATTCATCTGGTATAAGGCTGTTATAAAGCTGTTAAGCTGCTAGTTTGCACATTTTTAAGGATTATGTTGCCTATAAACAGTTTCCTGTGGTTCACTGTATGCCTTAAGCTATCATTGCACTGGCTTTAGTATGATATCAAAGGTGGTGAGAGTGGATGCCCTCACCTGTTCTTAGGTGAGGGAGGGGCACGGGGAGGTCACTTTTTCACCATATAAGCGGCAGACTAATGAGCTCTTCATAGTTTTCATTTTATTCTTGGGTTGTGGGTATTTGTTTTAACCGAAAGTAGGGTTTTAACAGAGTCCACATTTATTTTCTGTATGGGTTGATATGATTAAAAGGTTCTTAACCCTAGCCAGGTGATGGTGGCACACACCTTTAGTCCCAGCATTCTGGAGGCAGAGGTAGGAGGATCTCTGTGAGTTTGAGACCAGTCTGGTCTACAAGAGCTAGTTCTAGTACAGGCTCCAAAGCCACAGAGAAACCCTGTCTCAAAAACAAACAAACAAACAAACTAAAACATTCTTAACCCTTATTCTATTATTATTTTATTACAATAATTGATTTACAGATGTTAAACAAATCACATCACTTGGTGTACAAACAATCCTATGTGTGCAAGCCTATATGTGTTGGTTTGATAACGTTTTATGCATTTTGCTTGCATTTACTGAATATCTTTGGCTCACTATAGTCTTCTCTTGTGCTGATATTTTCTGGCTTTAGTATCAAGTTAATCCTGGTGTCACTCAGTGGGTTACTCACTCCTCTGTGATCTGAGTTTGTGTGCAACTGCTTTCTTCCTCCTCCTCCTTTTGTTTTTATTGAGAATTTCATGCAATATATTTTGATCAAACTCTTTCCTCTCCTCCAACTTCTCCCAGATTCCCTTCAACTTCATGTTCTTTCTCTCTCTTAAAAAAAAACAAAACAAAAACAAAAATCAAAAGAACATGCACACAATATGAAAGAAAGAAATGTAGACTGGTTTATGTTGGCTAACTACTCCTGAGGATGAAGCCTGGCCAGGAGTGTGGTTGAGACAGAGATACTGCACCACACAGACACACCACACAAACGCATAGTACACTTCACACACCACACAGTCACACCACACCAGACACTAGACACCACATGGACACATCACACAAACATACCAACACCTCACACGCAATACGCAACACACTACATGCCACATAGACACAGCAGACAAATATACCAACATCTCACACACCATACACCCCACACATCACACAGACATACCATTTACCACCCAAACACAACTGATATACAAAGACATACCACATACCACACAGATGTATCACATACCACATACAACATATTGACATACCACCTAATGCTCCATATGCCACATAAACACACTACACAAAAACATCACACAGCACAAAGACACATCACACACCATACACATGCAGTACACATTACACACTTAACATATATACATTATATGTCATACATAGATGCCAAATCATACATTGACACAACCCAAACTACACTTACGGCATGCACTACATACATTGCATAGCACATAGAAACACATACCATACGTGAGCACATATGCACATACACATTACACACTATGCAGACATACACACTAAGTACCATACGTACGCAGACACTCTACACACGACAGACTTCCAATGGGTCTTAGGACAGTAGCAGCCATGAAACTCAGTGCAAAGCTGGGATGTATAGGGTACATCTGCACACTGGGCTCAGCCCTCCCATGAGTATGACACAGAAGGACAAGCACACCTGGGAACTGGTCCCCTTTTTCCGTACAGATGGATCCTTTTTTTCTGCTGAATGTGAATTCTTCTGGAATCGGGTCTTCATCATATAGTCAAATGTGCTCAGGTTCTTGGCAACTGCAAGGGGGGAGGGGCAGGCAGGAAAGGACAGGGTCATCCAACAGCCATGCACAATGTCACATAGCACCCCATATACAATGCACAGGCCACCTTTCATGGGAGTGACTGCCTTTCATGTCCCAAGACCAGGAGGAGGAACAGGTATGTCAGACCAGACAAGCTATGCTCTGCACATTTTATGAGTGACAGGACCTGACTGTTCCCTGTTGCCCAAATTAAAGCCTCTAATTAAGCACAGAGGTGGGGTGTCCCAGAGGAGCTGGACTGTGGCACCTCTCATGGGTCCCCAGTTTTTGGCATCAGGACAGACTACTCCAGATCCTCTTGGGATGGCTCCCAGAGGCCAGACTCAGGAAAGACTACTCTGTTCCAGGGTTCTGGAAGCCTTCATCTTCAGAGGGGTAACTACATAGGGGCAACAGAAGTACTTCTGATAAGAGTACTGGATCCCTGAGCTGACCCTGCTGGATGCCTACCCAACCTATGCCTGTTTATCACTACCCCGTGCAGCCACCCTAGGTGCTCTGCCTCAGAGAACACAGGGCTACCAACAAATGTGAGGCATGGCAAGCAACCCCCGCCCAGGCTGAGACTTTGGGAACCACACCTAGTGGAAGCAATTTGGGTTGTTGCAAGAAGACCAGATGTGTTTTTGAGAAAAGAGCTGTTAGTGCCTCTTCTAGACCCATGTTTCTAGGGAAGGATCTAACTTTTCAAAACCAACACATGTGAGCAGGTACTTTGGAAACATTTCTGAGGAGCTGAGGGGCCACCCAATGGCCTTATCTGTAGCTCAAGTAGCAGATGGGATGGGCTGCCTCATCCCCAGAGGTCCTAAAGAATTTGGCTTTATGTTGTTGGAGTGATGAATCTCCCTAGCCCACCCAACTGTGATTCAGTCTCATGAGCTTCTAGCACATAGCTAAGTAAGAATTAGTAGTCATAGGTAAGTCAGAGTAAGCCTGTGGTCCTGCACTTGCTTACATTCTAATTAAAGCATTTCTTCTTTCCACGGTTTATGTTAATGCCATTCAAGTCAGCTGATGAGCACATCCAAAGCTAAGCAATGTCCCTGTGTGTCCTTTAGAGTGACCAGGAACCAACAGCTAGTTCTGGCAGTGTATGGATCCTGCCCTTCCTCTCCTGGGTTCAATACATTATTCCTCCCCCAGCATGACCTCACACCCCCTCATCCCTACATTGCAGGCTTCAGTTTCCCACACTTGCTGGGCATTAGGCCCTTGAATCTCCAGCCCACATTCAAAGTGGTGCCTCATAGAGGGTAGTCCACATGGGTGCATATACTTTGAGATACAGTCCTTGAGTGTGGGCTAGATCTACAGACTGAGCTCTCAGTGAGCCTCATCCGTGGCCAGGGTACTCTGCCATCCTGCTCCTTCCATAAAGCCAGTCACTGCTGTGAGGCACTTTACAGTCCAACCAGGGAGGATCAGAGCAAGGTGGCATGTCAGTGACTTGGAGGAGCTACATCTGTCAGTCGCCTTGCAGGGAGCTCAGAAGAAGAATCTTACAGTGGCACGGTGACCACTGAAGCCCAGTGTAAATGTCCTGAACAGAAGACCCAGCTGAGCTGTTTACCCTGGCCCTACAGTGATGACTGAGAGCTGCAGTTTGGGGCAGTCTTACTAATATATAACAATAGCCAACAAGTCCTGGGAATATTTGATGTCTAAACGCCCCATGTTCAGCCTGACTTCAGTTCTCCCATCTCAGAAGAACACTTTCCAGTCTCTTCACAGCGAATAGCCCTACTATCCTTAGTATAACTCCAGCTGCCGCTGGTTCTACTTAGTTCTGCTTCCAGCCATCTCAGTACAATCTGAGTGCCATAAGTAACAGTAGTGGCAGCAGCTCTCAGTGGCTGGCTGCCTCTGATTTGTTCTCCAGGGTGTGGTGCAGCCAATGTGGTATCACACACAGTACACCCGGAAATTTTTGAAGCAGAGTAATTTAAGTACCAATTCTGTGCATGTCCCTGGCCCACTGAGGATGCCCTCAACTGGAAATATGCTCATGGCCCTGTCAGGCCCCTCTCAGTACCACCTTCTCTCAAAGGTTACAAAAGGAAGCATACCATTCTTTGGGAAATACAGTACCCTGGCTCTCTATGAATCCCCCACCCACCATATAAGGAACAGTGCAGGCATACTGTGGCTCACCATGGGCAAAAAGCCAAGCCATATCAGCAGCTACAGGAACAGAAGTATAGATCTGTGGCCACCCCTCCAAACATATATTTCCAGACAATTCATAGGCCTTTGGTTGGCTCCAGAGCTGCTGACCAATGGAATTACCTTGACCACCACACACCTTGGCTGCATTTCTGGAGAGGAGAGATGAGAGCAAAAAGAGAGAGAAAAAAAAAGCCTCTCACTGAAGGCACCTGAGCATCACTTCACAGCATGAGGCCTGAGCAATGTTCTCTTGGCCTCTGTCACCTTCCCCTTGCTGGTATACCAGCACAGCAGCCCTTTCCTGGGAGGTTGGGTTGACCCCGAGTACTGTGAACAAGTCATTTCCAGCATCAAGCATCTTGGGGCCAAAAGCTAGTAGGTGGCCAATCTCTTACATCTCTTACATCTGTCAAGAAGACAGATGTGGTGGTGCACACCTTTAATCACAGCATTCTGGAGACAGAGGCAGGCAGATCTCAGTGAGTTCCACGCCAGCCAATGATGTTTCAAAATTAAAAAAAAAAAAAAAAAAAAGGGGAGGAATTCCAGGTTAGAGAAGTCACCTTGCAACCTAAGTTATCCTGGAAGTCAAGTCAGGGACGCCATAGCAGAAGTTCCTGTCTGTGCACCAGGCCTTCCTCTCAGCATATGTAGGCCCAGTGCCCAGGCCTTAGAGATTCAGTCAGGGCTCTCTGTATCTCCATTTGTGAGTTTTGCCAGCATGGAGCCCTTGGTTTCTGCAGTTTTCAGTCTGGGGTCTATGTTCACAGAGCCAGGTAACAATATTATAGACAGTAAGTTACAGGGCATCACTGCAAGTGTCTGCCTGTCTTGGGTCATGTGGGACCTCCTCACTCTTTCTGGTCCTGACAAAAGCTTCTATGATGTGTCTTTGTCCATGAAGCTTGTTTCAGAGGGCAGGCATGGTGGTAGAAGATGAGAGAACTGGAAGCCAAAATCCTGGCTAAATCTTGGAACCAGCACTCCTCAGGAAACATGTGGCTCTTCTGTGGGATTTGGGTCTATGAATGTCAATGACACAATACTCCTGACACCAGTGAAGCATGCAGTATCTAGGGCCCCCAAAAGTTCTGGGAGAATCTTTGAGATTCACTAAGACTCGGGATGTGACTGTCATCATGTCCTTAGGCTGTGCTTCCGCCTTAATGAGCAACCGTGAATGCACCAGACTGTCTGGCCTTCCGGAGGTGTTGGATGAAGGAGTAAGACTGGTGCCAGTTTTAAGCTCTGAAGCTTCAGTTGTGGTAGCTTCATGCATGGGCAAAGACTGTGCAGTCCCAGAACCTAATCTTAAAGAGTTTCATATAAGAGTATAGACAGGAACAGCTGACAGCTCCTGGGTCCTTGTTGCTGCTGAGTGTCTCATACATGGCAGAGTGGGACAAAGCAGATCATTGTGTCTGGCATATTCCAGGGGACACAGCCCCTTCCTGGGGCCTTTTGTGGAATGAAGCCTGTTGTGCTCACTATTCTGGACTCAGCACACTCAGACCTCACTGCAAGTTCACTGCAGTCCAATGCCCACAAAGTATGTCTCAGTAAAGTTCCACTCACACAATGTCCCTCACTGCCATTGTCCCCCTCTCTACCAGAACATAGGTGCCTCCAAACCTCATCCACAGATGCAGAATTGCCCCCCTCCCCCAGCTCCACATTGGTAGAAGCAATTGCCCCTCACAAAGTACTTACTATGAAGTGGAAAGAGAAAGTGACTAACACCAAATTTGTGTTCCTGGGCAGTATGGACCCAGGAACTGGGCAGTAATCTTCAGGCCTATGGTGTAGGTTCTACAGGAAGCATTGGGCATGACACCAGTTGTTGGATCTAACTCAGAGAGAGAGAGAGAGAGAGAGAGGGAGGGAGGGAGAAGGAGAGAGGGAGAGAGAGAGAAAACTAGATAAAGAGGGAAATGATTTCTACATGAGGTCAGGTGCTAAGAAAGATGGTATTGCTAATACATCTGAAAGCATTTAGACACGAGAAAAATTTTCCCAATAAGCTTAGAAAGTAATGTTTTTTATAAATCCCTACTTACAAAAGCATGGGGGAGTTTTAAAGGTAACCCCAAAATGCATCATTCTGAGGGTTTCAGTCACAAGGAATGTGAGGTGTCCTCCCAGCCTTGTTACTGATAAAACAGCATACGGTGTTCTGTGAATATATAGGTTCAGCTGACATAGGTTTTAGACTTGGTTCTATCCCACTCTACAAATATATCTAAACACAAGTAAATAGAAACGAATCAGGTCATTCCTAACAAAAATCTAAAAAAATGTAGGTTGCACCCAACAAGATTTAATTCATGGGTCTTCACTTAATTAGGAGGAGGAAGAAGAGGAGGTGGAGGGGCAGGAGGAGGAGGAAGGGGAGAAGGATGATCTAAGTTTCAAGTAATCACAATGCTGAAGTCAGGGATGTGTGCTAATAAATACACTCACAGGTGACAGAGCATGTTCTTTAGGTTCAGGGTGATGCTGCTGGTAAGAACCACTGGTCATATACGGGATCTTTCTATGGAAGGAGGTCAGCACTCAGCCAGACACTGTCCTCACAGCCACAGGCAGGGTCTGTACCATCCTTGAGGTTTGGGTATTCAAGTTACAAGAAACCAGCACAGCAGGAGTTGTCCTGCTGCCCTCCAGCCAGGCCTCCCACTACCAGAGACCAGAGAAGTTTCATGGCCAGTTCCCCACAGCACAAACCATGTGCACTGGGGAAAGAGGTGGTTCTAACTCGACCGAAACACTTTCTTAGGCAGAGGATCTTAATAACATTACCAGGTGTCTGACACATATTTGTGGATATAGATCTCCTCTTTGGCTCTATTCAGATGAGGAAAACCAGTCCCTTGGGCTTAAGTTTCATTGTTATAATTTCTACTTGGTACTTTCCTAAATCCTCCTGGTCCTAATGTCCTATTCTTGCATAGCAGTCATATCCCTTTGTCTCTGTATATTTTAGTCTCTCCTGTACTTTCTGCAGGTTTTCAAACATGAGCTCAGTTCCTTGCTGGACTCACCGACCTTCTGCTGGTATCTCCTTCCTGCAGTTTGTCCTTTTTCTATGAATTCATTTCTCCCAAGGCACCGTCTGCCTCGAGACAAGGGAATTGAAGTGGTAAGAGTGGGTACATACTCAGGTAGAAGTGGAAGACGAGCAGGTGCCCGAGCAGCACGAAGCTGGCGATGGCTAGCAGGAATACCACCACCGCGATGGAAACGACCACGGGAGTCTTCACAGGCACAGGCCACAGTGGGAGGAACAGCAGCCATATGTTCTTAGAGCTGATCCCTATGAAGACAGAGACACATGCCCATCTAGCACCCACCCAAACTGCAGCACCTGTAGTCAGGTAAGTAGAGGGACAGAGCTTGCTTGGGTGAGTGAGGACCGCCAGCCAAGGGATGTGCTTTTGCCCTGTATTTGCCCTGTTCTGCTGTGGGTCCCATGGGCTCACTGGCTGTGGCTGACTCTATGATCCCCGCTTCATGCATTCAAGTTCCTGAATACTAGAGTATAGAGCCCTCTTTCTTGGTGCATTTCTTGAGCACTGTCCACCATGGCCCTCAAAATCAAGACCATGGATAAGGGGTTTCCTAAGCTGTGTGACAGAACACTAGAGGCCTGGACTCCAAGCCCAAGCATCTTGATCCGCATCGCATTCTAGAAAGGTGCTTGGCACTTTCTAGAACGGACTCCTATGTGTCCTATCAGAAAAGGAAATGTTACATGCTGCCGTGTGGATGTAGGGATCCATGGGCCATCTCAGTGATGGTGTAAACTCCAGTCCATGAGATTCTGAGCTCAGGCCATGGACTCTGCAGGGTTCTGGAATGGCAAGTCAAGAAGTGACCTCCACCCATACTCAAAGAACCACAAGTCTGCTCCAAGGAGAGATGTGATCCACTTCCCACATCTGATGTCACGGTCAATGGCCCCAGCCACATCACCACCACTCTGAATATCCCTCTTCCCTTTCTTTGCTTTTCTTTTTCTTGGTCAGCATGACAATTATTTAGGAGAGGTAACATTACTAATGAAGAGGCCATTGTGGTGGCTTCCAGAGAGTGCTCTGGAGTACCAAGAAATCCTAAGTGGTTACAGGGAATGCAGAAGCTAATATTAATCTCTGTGTGTTATTTGGGGGCCCTAACATGGCAGCAGAACCCAGGTGGCTGGTGGAAAGAGTTATTGTTACAGGGCTGTGGTGAAAAATGGCCATAAGCTAGTGGCACTTAGACAATACAGTAATCCTGTCATATCTGTAAGCCACAAGCCTGAATTCAGAGTATCCAAGGGTTCCAGGAAACGACCCTTCAATCTTCTTCCTGCTCTGAGTGTCAGGCCCTCCTGCTCTTGTAGTCATATTGCTCAGCCTCTGACTCCTACTTCCATAGGTCCTTTGCAAGTTGGCATTTCCTCTTGTTTCTCCTGAGGACATTGGCATTGGATTGGGGCACACAAGGGGCTTACGATGGGCTCCTTACCTCAGAATTCCTAACCATATCCACAAAGACCCTTTTCCAAATAACATACCACCTTAACTCTGGGTCAGGACTTGAACACTTTGGAGGCCATGTTTAGCCCAACCCCTTTCCCTCTTGTTTCAGACATTTGTACCATTGGTTTGTGCTTCTGGACCTATTTAATCATAGAATCTCTGAGCTTCCCCTCAGAGTCTGTGGCTCAACATAATAGCCTCACTTTCTGCTGTTCTTCTCCACAAATAGTTGTGTCCTAAAAGATAGCCTCCCACCTTCTCCACTCAGCACAGCTAAAGGGTTCATTGTCTAGGTGCTCAAGAAGGAAGGGACAGGGTATATACCTCACTCTAATCCCTGGATGTTAGGTCTCAAAGGAGCTCAGATCAGCTGTAGAGTGAGTAAACATGGAGGGTGAGGCCGGGAAGCCTAACACTCAGCACATGAGAACCAGGTAGAAACAGTCCCTAAGCGCCAGAAGGGTACCTTTATACTTGGGGTCTGTGCGAAGCTCTTCGGGGTTGACAAAGTACTGGATGAAGATGTACAACAAGATAACCATCATGCCAAGCAGGGTAACTACAGCTGAGGCCACAGAGGAGAAGAAGAACCTGCATGAGAGGAATGGGATCCTGCTCAGAGACAAGAGAGTGGAACGTAGGACAGACTAACACCCAGCCAAGCACATGAGATCAACACACAGGTCTGGTGTGAGTGACCTTATGGAAACAGAGAACCACAATTATACTGGTGTCTTCCCTACTCTTCCTTCTTGTGTTCTTTCTACCATGTCCTTCACATACCCTAGACAAATGTTGCCTCCTGATTGTATTGATCGTGCTCCACATTCCCTACAGCCTTCTACCCCGGCCCTCATATCCCTCCATCCTGCAGTCTGGACAAGAATATCATTACCACCTAATGGGAAAAGTTAGCCCTCAAGATGGCAAACTATAACCTAGGCAGACAGAATCTCGTCCAGCAAGCATGTTCTAATCATGGCCATACAGGAATCACACAACCTTATCTTCCTCTTCCTTCTTCTTCTTCTTCTTCTTCTTCTTCTTCTTCTTCTTCTTCTTCTTCTTCTTCTTCTTCTTCTTCCTTCTTCTCCTCCACCACCTCCTCCTACTCCTCCTCCTTCTCCTCCTCTTCATTTATTCTTCTTCCTCCTGCTCCTTTCTTTCTTTCTTTCTTTCTTTCTTTCTTTCTTTCTTTCTTCCTCCTCCTTCCCCTCCCTCTCCTCTTCCTCACTCACTCCTTCCTTCACTGCCTTCCCATGCACTGGGCTGACCTCCTCCAGACTTTATTGCACCCTATTCTGAAAGGTCCATTTGTCTTCCTGTTTATTATGACTATGAGACATGGGGCTCTCTTTCAGGGTTTCTGTTCAACTCAGGTGCCAAATGATATCAAAATGCTATTGCAGGGCTAGAGAGATGGTTTGGTGGTTAGGAGCATTGACTGCTCTTCCAGAGGACCAGGGTTCAATTCTCAGCACCCACATGGTTACTATCTGTAACTCCAAGTTCCAGGCAGATGTGATGCCCTCTTTTGGCCTCTGAGGCCAAGAGGTGCCCCACACATACATGCAGGCAATATATCCATATACATGGAATAAAAATAAATTTTGAATTTTTTGAGAAGCCATTGCCTCCCTCTCATGATTTCTTGGGCCCTGGAGAATGAGGGGACAGGAAGTGAAGGTGCTAAGGATCAGAGCTAGCTAGTGAGAATGGGGGGCACATAACTAACAGGCTACACTGGGATGCCTAGTGACAGTGGCTGCATTTTTCAAGCTCAAAAGCTCAATCAGGAAGAAGCAAAACCTACACCTATTCCCCCAGGCACCTCCCTGGATGGATGGCAGAGACTCACAGCCCAGTGTATTGTCAGAGCAGAGCAAGGCATGGGGTTGGGTGTAAGAAGCTACTATATCCTCCTGTTCATCTTCAGGACTCACGGAGCTGATGGACAGCCGAGGCCAGTGACTCTCGACCTATGGGAAGAGACCTCTTTGGCAAACCTCCATCTCTAAAAAGATTTACATTACGATTCGTAACTGTAGCATAATCACAGTTATGAAGTAGCAACGAAAATGATTTTATGGTTGGGGGTTACTATATTAAGGAAGTCTGAGCACTGCTGTCCTACACCCTGTCCTGGTGCCCAATAGCTCTCTGGATTCTGCACTCATGACCAGGGATTTGCCTTAGGGTGATCTAGACACTCATTCCTGTGCTCAAGAGTCTATCCACTGCTCTTGGGTTGGTGGCCATGGCGGCCATGGTTGAAAAGGTAGATAGTCCTGAAGCAGGAAGTTTAGAAGGCTCAGCCAGACTGTGACTTACTGTTTATGGTGAGCTCTCTGATTATGGGCTTTGTTAGTGTGAGCTTGTTCCACATGTTCAGGAGCAGCTCCATCAACACATATCAGAGCCAGCAGCACATGGGCACTAACTAGCTAAGCTCTGCCATAGTTGAAAACAGAGACATGGCCCAAAGGTCACCCTTTACCCATGCTGTTCCCAGCCTGGATGGCCCCCTCCACTTTGTCACCTGCCATCTATTCCTATGAATTCCAGGCCATGGATCCTTCCCCCCAGGTCACAGCCTTGACCCTGAGAGTGCCTCACCGGTAGTTTCTGCTGCCCACGCAGTTGTTCAGCCATTTGCAGTGGTGGTCGAAACCAGAGACACATTTGTTGCAGGAGCTGCAATGTTTGGCTTTCTTGCTCCTGGGAAAGAAATTGGGAGAAACACCCTGATGACCCCAAATGCACCATGGGGACTGAATGTCTACCATGAAAAGGAAGGTGGGGCCTCCATTTGAAGGCAATAGGGTACTGGAAGTCTGTAGGAAAGACAAGGCTATCTTGGGAAAAGAGATGAGTTTGTGCCCATGGGCATTGTTTTTGGAAGACGGATTCTGGACTTCCCCATAGGTAGACTTGTTTGCTAGATGGGAGCCTGAAAAATCTAGGAGTTGAAGGCTGGGATCTCACTGAGTACCCACAGAGCCTTCCAATAGCTAAGTCAGTGTGCTGCCCTCCTCAAGTCCTGGAGACCTTGGACCCCATCATGTATCAGCTGGAACTGCCTACCCTCCTTCCCAGTTGGGGATGCAAGTTTTATTAGAAAAATCACAAGGAAGTGGTACACTTGCCCCTGCCCAATCACCACCACCACCAAAAAGGGCATGTGTATACAAGAGGACATGAAAATGGCACAGCAGGGCCTCAGACTTCATACTGAGGGAGAGAGGTATTGGGAACCAGAAGGCAGAACTGTCAGCCTAAAGGGTAGGGCGATATAAGTGTGGCCTCCTGGGAGGCTGTGAGCACATGACTGAACCCTCCATGGAGTGCCACAAAGGGCCAGTGCCCAATAATAGCAGGCTCATCTGGCCTACTGTGGTACCATGGGTCAGCAGTACTCTACACCCAGACTCCTAAAAGTGCCCCTGACCCACTGCTCAGCAGATACCCCCACTCACACAGTAACCTCACACAGGTGGCAATACTGGTTCTGGATCACATGCGCATGTTTGGACCGGTCGAAGATCGGCACAGGCTCCGAATAGTCCTTTTTGAGTCGGACATTGGTGTCGGCTGGATCGATGGTAGTTGTGATCAAGTGCACGATGAGGTGGAAGATGGACAACCCACCCATCACCTGGGCTGTCAAGGAACACACGGCCCTGGGCCTGGCTGACATGATGTAAGGTATCTCCCAGGGGGACAGATATAGTGTCAGAGACCAAGGAAAGACCCTGGAGCTCCTAACAAGTCACTGCTGTCTGCAGCACCTGAGCACCAATCCCATAGAGATAGACACTTCAGAGACCCAGCCAAGCAGCCCCACTACTGACCACAGTGTGAACAAGCCCTGAAATACCTCATGCGGCAAAGTAAAAGGAATAGGTATGAAAGCGAGCCGTCTCTACCTTGGGATGACGGCTTCAGAGACTCAAAGTAGTTCACCTGGTGGTGGGTGTTTCATACGTAGGAAAGGCCTAGGCTATGAGTGGGACCAGGACATGCCAGCTCATGCAGGATATGTGGATCACATTGCCAGTAGAGTAACTGTGGGCCACAACACAAAAGAAAGCTATATTCACCAGAGACGGGAAGACTAGGCAGCAGTTGGAGAGTACCCCCCCAACCTCAGCCTGAGTTAGAACTTTTGGGGCCACCAGACTCTCAGGCACCTTTGGACTTTGTCCATCTAAGCCTATATGACCTTGAGAAGAAGGTCTTTGTCCCTTCCACCCCTCCTCCTGTCTCTATCATAATATACAAAAGGAGATAATGATCATAAGGACTATCCTCTCTTGCTCTGTCTTCTGGCTTGGTGGGTCAGTATTTACAGCATCTCTAGAGGGATCCAAGAGGGTCCCATGCACCACAGCCTAAGTTTCTGCCAGCAGTCAGGCTCCATTGTGTCCAGGCAAGGCAAAGACCAAAAGCATAGACAGCATAGGCATAAGGGAGCCCTAACAAGGGTTCCAAAAAAAATCAGTGATGTAGGACAAGCCTGTAAGAGGCCCAGATATTGATACAACTTGGTGCAGATCCTGTCTTCCTCACCCCATCCTCCAGCATGAGCTGGCCAGTGCCCGGAATTCTAGGCATGGGCACAGGACTGAAAAGCAGGTTCAAGAGACAGAGAAGTAACTGTGAGGAAGACAAAAAGCTATATTCCAGGAGGACCAGAGTAGGAGCTGGTACAGGGCTGGGTGAATGTGTGGCAGAAGTGGCTAGGCAGTATGCGTGGCGATGGAAAAGTGCCATATGAGCCCAAGTGGACTCAAATATGCCATGTCAGGGAGGCATGACAGACACCCAAAGCCCTTCCTACAGCCACTCTGACCCCAGATAGTACCACCTGGTCTATTGCAGAACAGATTGCAGCTATAGTATAGGCCAGTGGGGCTTGGCACAAGGTCACTCACAGCTGTTGAGCATGGTCCAGCAGCTACTCCCACCCTTTGAGGTTGAGTTGAGGGCTGATGGGCTGCCCTCATGATGATGGGTAGTGGAGAGCATGTTCAGAGCCTGGGATGTTGACGGGTGAGGGCTGAAGACACAGAAAGTCTCACACGGCTTGAGTACTGTCTCTTTCCCTGTAACACTAAAGCAGACCTGTTCTAAAGGAAACCAGTAGGTAGGAAGCCTAGGTAGGAAGTCCAAGAGGAAGTCCAAATGAGATAAGGCTGAGGAAAACTGCCCAGGCCCTCCGTGACCACAACTTGTGATACCCTCACATATTTTCTAAACCACCAGTATTCATACTCTGTTCACACACATATGAGTCCCACTGTTGGAGACTCCTGGGACACAGGCTGATCATAGGGAAGCTATGTTCTCAGGGTGCAACTGAGCCAGGTTCCTTTAAACCTGAACCTGCTCACACAGACCCTTAAGGACAGCCAGTACCCAGTCTTCATGTGGAATGCCAAGAGACCACCCTAGAAGCACCAACATGGCACAGAAAGACTCTGGTCCCATGGGGACTCAGAAGTTAGACACAAGGTCACCTGTCCCTCTAGGACATGGAGCTCTCCTATAAAGGCTAAGTTACGGCACATCTTTATCACGTTTTCCTGTGCAAAGCTTGTCTAGTAGCACTTTGCCAGCAAATTTTGTACCATTCAAGGATATCCCTGTCACCCATAAGAATCATGCTGGTGACTTTGCTGTACTATATTTTGTCCCAAATGACCTGGCTGGCCACTCCCTACCACACACCGAGGTGACATTCCCAAGGGGGAGCCCAGAAGAAAAACTTCATGATCTGCCCTGCCTTCACATAATAAGCCTTGTCTCAGTGGATAGCTAAATGTGAAAGAAGCAGGGTGAGGCATCGTCCATGGAGGCCTCCCTCCAACTCCCTCTGGAAGTTTCCATGTGGGAGCCTATGAGAACCACAGCTGGCTGGAACATTCCCTAGCAACAATCTGTGTTTAGTAAACAAACAAAGGAAGGGCGCCAGCTCAGGACACCACCCTCCTCAGTCTCCTCGAACTAGTGACCTCTCCCTTGTCCTGTTTCCGCAGGAAGAGGGGAGGCCCAGGAGAAGCCAGCATTCTGGTACTGTCTGGGCTCATGATTCCTCTGGGGCAAATTCCGTGGCTGAGCTACAACAGCAGCCTAAAACACCTTGCTTGGTGCCCCCTCTCCTAGTTCACATTTCTTCCAAACCCAGGACTCTAAAAGAGATTGCTGTGGTTAAAAATTGGTGCTGCACAGTGGGCATTGTTGTCTAAGCTGTGTATCTGTTCTCTTGTCTGCAAGGTGGGAGTTCCCCTGGTGGCAGGATCCTCATGGGCCACCAGAATGGTGGCCTCTTTCTCTTCTGCACCACAAGAAGGATCTTCAGGCTTTTCTCTGCCTCTAGTTCCCTCAGGTCCCCTCCACATAAAGCCCTTCCCTCTTCTCCTAACCCAGACCCTCATGTCCCAGCCCCTCATGGTGTCTAGCAGGTGCCAAATGATGCTGGCGCCCCCTAGTGGCTATAAACTAGCACTAAGTGCTGCTGGTTTGAGCATAATGCCAGTGCAGCTAGGCTGGGGACAGACTAGCAAAAGGATTCCAGAGATAACAGCCTAACCTGAAAAGCCAAGTAAGCGGCTGGGGTTGCAGTCTTTCTGGACACTTGCTGGGGACTGAGCTACCAAGTGGGCATAGGGCTCTGGGAAGGAATGAAGGTCTGGCATTTGGGTGTGCGGGAATAGGGCAGAGAGCATGTAAAGCTCAGGCCCTCTGCAGTAAACACAGAACCACCTGACAAGATGCAGGGCCAAACATGGCCATGTTAGGAATAAAAATAAGAATGAAAGCAGTGATTATAAGGCAGTACATGTCTCCTAAACATATTCATGTCCTGACACCAAAATTGGCACACCTCCCTTGCAAAATAGAGTTATCACACATCAGGTAAATGAGGCCAATGGGAACAATCAGATCATTGTGATCACAGACCTTATGAAAATGGGAACTATAGACTGACAAAGTGGTTCAGTGGTTGAAAGAGTTTTCATTGTCAGCCTGACAATCTGGGTCCTGTGGTAGAAGGAGAGAACCGACCTGAAAATTGTCCTCTGAATTCCACACACATGCTACCCCTCCCTCTCTCCCTCTCTCTCTCTCTCTCTCACACACACACACACACACACACACACACACACACACGCTATGGTGCAAGCAACAAACATGCATGCACACACATGCTACACTGTAAGCATCACACACATGCACACATGTGCACACACACATGCTATGGTGCAAGCAACACACACACACACACACACACACACACACACACACACACACACATACATGCACACATGCATACAGGCACACACACGCACACATACACACACACACACACACACACACAGAGAGAGAGAGAGAGAGAGAGAGAGAGAGAGAGAGAGAGACTACTAAACATTTTCACAGGAAACACAACAGATTGAATTGCTGGGACAGAAGATGGGTGAACACAGGGAGAAGACTGCATCCCCAGGCCAAGGACAAAGTGACCTAGTACTACTCTCCAGTGCCTTTCAGGGGACTGTAGCCCTGTGTCACTTTCATTTTAGACTGCTACCCCAGAACTAAGAGAAAAACCTCATCTCTCACCTAAGACACCTTGAGTAGCTCTGTTAAGACAACCATAGGTCTCACACACATTATTCCACAAAACTGATGGAGAAATACAAAACAAAGGAAGCAAGAAGGAAGGTAGAGAGTAGGAAGGAAATCCCTTCTTTATAGGTCATAGGTGGGCAAGTTCAGTGGCAGATCTAGAGATTTAGCACTGACTGTAGCTATGCCCCCACAGGTACTACACCCTAATGACAGTGTGTTGTGCCAACACTTGTCAACCTGACAGTCCACAGGTTACCTGACGTCTCAGAAATGCTCAGCCAAGCTCAGACTGGCAGCTGCCATCCTCCACTAAAGAGACAGAGGCTATACCCTCATGTTCAAGACCCGGAGCTGACTAGATTCTGGGTTTAAAGACCCTTATAAAGGACATTTAGGAGACATTAGACATTGCTGAATTGATGCCTGTTTTTT